TATATATATACATACGTGTGTGGACTACAAATACAGTACCGTGCAATGGTTTTAGGCAGGTGTGAAAAAATGCTGTAGTGTAAGAATGCTTTCATAAATAAAAGTTTTAATAGTTTGTTTTTATCAATTAACAAAATGGAAATTAAATGAACAGAAGATAAATCCAAATCAAATCAATATTTGTCATGACCACCCTTTGCCTTCAAAACAGCATCAATTCTTCTGGGTACATTTGCACTCAGTTTTTGAAGGAAATGGACAGGTAGGTTGTTCCAAACATCTTGGAGAACTAACCACAGATCTTCTGTGGATGTAGGCTGCCTTAAATCCTCCAGTCTCTTTATGTAATCCAAGCCAGACTTGATGATGTTGAGATCAGGGCTCCGTGGGGACCAAACCATCACTTCCAGGACTCCTTGTTCTTCTTTACACTGAAGATAGTTCTTAATGTTATTGGCTATATGTTTGGGGCCGTTGTCCTGCTGCAGAATAAATTTGGGGCCAATCACACGCCTCCCTGATGATGGCATGATTCATAAGTATCTACTTGTATTTCTCAGCATTGAGGACACCATTGATTCTGACCAAATCTTCAAACCCATTGGCAGAAATGCAGGTCCAGACTTGCAAGAAACCTCTACTATGATTCACTGTTGCCTCTGTCTGCAGACACTCATTGTACTGCTCTTCAGCCCTTCGGCGAACAAACTGCCTCCGGCTACAGCCAAATATTTAAAATTTTGACTCATCAGTCCAGAGCACATGCTGCCATTTTTCTACACCCTAGTTCCTATGTTTTCATGCATAGTTGAGTTGCTAAGCCTTGTTTCCAAATCGGAGGTATGGCTTTGTGGCCACAATTCTTCCATGAAGACCACTTCTGGCCAGACTTTTCTGGACAGTAGATGGGTGTACCTGGGTCCCACTGGTTTCCGCCAGTTCGGTGGCGATGGCACTGCTGGACATCTTTTGATGTCGAAGGTAAGTAAGCATGATGTGTCTTTCATCTGCTGCATTAAGTTTCCTTGGCCATCAACTGCATCTACAGTCCTCAACATTGACCGTTTCTTTGTGCTTCTTCAAAAGAGCTTAAACAGCACATCTTGAAACCACAGTCTGCTTTGAAATCTTTGCCATGGTGTATGACCTGTGACATTAAACTGTCTTCTACAACCTCATCTTAGTTACAGAGTTTGGCTGTTCTTCACCCAGTTTTAAGCCTCCTACACAGCGTTTTCTGTTTCAGTTAATGATTTTGTTTCAACCTACACATGAAATTGATGATCATTAACAACTGCTTGATATAATTGGTAAATCCTACACCTGACTAATTCTACAAAATATCTGACTTTGTGTAAGAATTGATGCTGGCTTGAATATTGAATTGATTTATTTTCTTCTGTTCACTCACTTGCATTTTGTAAATTGATCAAAACAAACTAAAATACAGTATATATTTTTCAAAGCATTCTTACTTTACAAGTTTTACACATCTGCCTAAAATTATCTTTAGAAGCAAGAAGCAAGAGAGGTGATGTTAGGGTTTGTACCTTCATGGAGAAATCCCACTCCATGCATTTCACAAAATGTATCTTTTTTATCACATCAATTTGCTTGATTAATACTGCTTTGTCAACTGATTGCTGCTAACTGATATTAACAGGGATCACTATTTGGACCTCTGCTAGGCTTGTAATTGAAACATTTACACCATAGCTGTCAGTACAAGAACATACATTTTTGTGCACACATTGGCCTGCAAAGTAGTACAATTGTGCACAGGCGTATCTCTGTTGTATCAAGGTATATTTTAAAAAGTGTAACAGATACATCCATATAGTTTAGTTCTATCAGTTAGCTTTTCTTTAATTTATATCTCCAATGTAATTTATCTGAATAAGCAGAATTGAAGGTGGATAAATTATATATTTAAATTAAGACCGTTTTGGGGGAACAAAAGTGAAATAATATGGATGAACATTCAACCAGGAACAGACAGTTGTTTCGGTAAACCTGTCATAATAGAAATGTAGGAGATGATATTGCTGAGTTGTTTTAATAATATTTAACCGTGCTTATTCAGACCTGCAGCCTATTCCAGGTCAAAGACTTAATAATAATGTGAACCTGTGCCCAGATTATGCGCACAAAAGTATTTACATATTCTAAACAGCAGTAAAATGACTTTTTTAAAAAGCTCTTGTTTACCTCTGTATCTATTGGTATTGTCGAGAAATTAATTTTCAAAGTTGACAACACAGGCACTGAAATCTTAGCTTTTTTTCTATGAGAGTAGATCTTGGCAGCCTGCCAGTTCTCTAATGTAAACAACCAGTAGATGTTTCTATGCCCTTGGTGCCCAACCTGTGGGCCTTGGCAGAATGCAGTCCTTTGGCACTTTTGGTGCAGTTTTGGGGACCCCATCAGACAATAGTCTGTGTTACCCTGTAAAAGGCAGTCTCATGTAATGTGTCCGCAGTCTCCTGAAGCATGTCCACATTTACCAACAACTCCTATAGCATATTTTCAGTTTCTGACCACCTGAGGCCCTCTATATGAAGAGAGTTGACCACCACTGCTCTAAGCTATTAGAAACAGACTGAAAGTCATGTATATTTATCATGTGTGTATTTAGCTATTTGCCTGGAGTTTTGCGTTAACATCTATAGAATAAATACACTTATAAATGCATTGTTTTATTTACTGTGTGGCACATCTTTTTCTTCTCTGAATTATACTCTCCTTTTTTAAACTATAATAAATACACTTACAAAATAGTACAAAATAGTAAGGCAATGACTGGACAGTCCTGGAATAGTTAAAATGTAAGCAGATTTACAGTAATTCATACATCTGCATGAATCTACATAACTAAATGGCAATCACATGCTGTGCTAAATAAAGTAACGATCACTATAGCGATGGATCAGTAAACCCTAATCACAGTGGTTCAAGGACAACAGAATGTTGTTTAGCAGAGCTTAATTCCGCTTTGTTGGAATGTTGTGGTAGCATATGAGGATATTATAAGGTAGGTCTTTTAGAAAAAATTTTGTGTGATAAAAAAAGCTGAAAATGCACATGTGACATTATGAACAATTGGGCAAACTGCAATGTGATATTTATATTTGCAATAAAATACAAATACTTACACTGGAAACAAAAGGACTAGCTGTGGAAACCTAGGCTGTGCTATATTGGTGTACAAAATGTACAAAGCAAAGTTGGTCACTTTTCAAGGTCTCGTGCCTACAACTGGCAAAACACCAGAAATGCAACATGGGATGCTGCTTTCTGTACTGATCTGTAACTAAAATATTTCTTTGCTTTCACACAAAATCTTTTATGTGTAATGTAGCATTTTGATGCTGACCACTCTTGCTGAATATGATGCTTGGCTGCCTATTTCCATTATTAAAAAAATAACACTTTTCTTCCAGACTGAATAACACCCAGAATAATTCAACTCACCTTTTTTTTTAAATGAAGTGGAATGGGGAGCTGAAGTTGGGCTTTAAATAATTTCTGAGTCAATTACTTATATGTATAGAGATAATGCATGCTAAATTTTCTGACTTATATTTCTTGCATGCTAGTTCTCAGTCCATCAGTATGGGTTATTGAAGCCAGACACAGCCAAGAAACTAGTATTTTAGTCAGCAGAGGTCAGCAGTGTCAGTCCCCATAGTTTTTTTTCAGGACAGGTATACCTCTAAAGTGTATCTTACAGATGAGTACAACTCCATTCCTAATTCTATGTAAATCTGAATGGAACATTATAATAGAGGCATTAGGCATAAAGCACTGAATGTGAATTTTACCAAGCATTCCCGGATGGTGAACCAATCACAATCATTTAAACACATACATATTCAGGTCTATTCACTAAGCTGCCGAGGGCAGCTGAGTGAACAACCGACCCCAAGTGAAGTGAGCCGAACACTGTTCGGCTATTCACTTCAGGCTTGTACGGCTGATTTCAGCCGTATATCGGCTGAAATCAGCCGTA